AAAAAAAAAAAAAAAAAAAAAAAAAAAATTATATAATATAAAAAATTATATATACTATTAATTATCAAATAAATAGTATATACTAATAATTTTAAGTTCAATATATATAATAAATTTTAATTGTTTAAAACTAAAATTAAAATTTATTATTATAAAAATAGAATTTATTTTTTATTGTATTTAATATTCACATCTTCATATAAAAGTTGAAAATAGTATTTTAAAACCTTTTTAATATACCAAATAAAATTGTAAAACAGGCAAAAATATGCATATTATATAAATTTTTAAAAGTGTTACAATAAATAATATATAAAGGTTTATAGCAAAAATATGAAAAAAATTAAAAAAATTGAAAATTAGAAAATTTTGTAATGATTAGTAAATTATTATATAAAAATTGCTAAAAAGAAGTGAGTGATATATTATATATATAAAAAAATATTAAACTGATCCAATATTTAGTTATAATAATAGGATTTCTAATAAAAGTTCAAAAATTAAAAGATAAAAAAGATATTTTAAATTTATGGGTATTTTATTTAAAACTATATTATCTTTATTATTGCTTAATAAAGTTATTTATTTTATATGTAATATTAAATAATAAATGGAAATAAATGTGAATTACATTTAAATGAATTACCATATTGAATAATAAATTAATTTTTTAAATGATTATAGCAATCTTTTAAATAGTAATTAATTATAAAAGAAAATGGGTTATATAAAGAAAATAACTAGTAATTGATTAAGATATATTTATATTAAGAAATTTTTATATGTAAATGTAAATTATCAATTATAAAACTTTTTAAAATTTCACTAAAACAGAAGCAATATTTTGATTGATACAGAAAAATAAGAGAAAAAGAATTTACTAATTACTAATTATACTAATTTTTACTATTAACAATAAACTAAAAAAACAAAAATTAATAAATGAACATGGATTATAAAAAAAAGGTGGATTTTATACTGGAACAAACTATTAGTTTTGAGTATCATCTCATCTTTCTGGTATTTTGGTATTAATTATACTGTATGCAAAGCTTCTGTTATTTAAATTAGTTTCTTGGTTTAATCTTAATAATAAAATGTATAGTTTTTTAAACTTTAGGTTAAAAGAATTTAGGAAGTATAATTAAAACATCAAATGGGGACACGCACAGCAAAACAAGGGGATAGGATCTAAAAATTTTTTTTTGAGATTTCATTACAACTGTAATTTTTGGATAAATTGGAGCATAATTATCATATAAACTTAAGAAATTTTTTTTTGAGGCTATCCCCTTGTTTTGCTGTGCTTATCCCCAAATATTAATGAAATAACAGAAAATATTTCAATTTGAAAAGCTTAAAAATTAAAATAAAGTTATAATTTTAAAGATAACTTTGTTATTATTAAGCAAAATATATACCAGATATCATTTAATTTCTTTTAATAAGATATATTGAATGGTAACCATTTTGGCTACTTTAACTATTTTAATTTTGATTTCATGTTTTAGCTTATAGTTAGCCATAAGTCAAATAGTACGTTTTTTATTTAAAGGATCGATGCCACCAAGATCACGTGAAATGGAAACAAAATCATTATCCTATTATATGATGATTATATGATGCAGGAGTATCACACGGACTTCAAACGAAACCTACAATAATTAATGATACGCCATTTATTAGAAGGCTGAAAATAAAAGATGAATTACTAACTGAATTAAATAAGGTATGTACGTCACAAGTTTGAAAAGGGGTTTAAATTTGGAATAATTAAAGTATTATACTTTTTAATACTTAAAAAGTCGAACAAAAAATAAATAAAAATCCAATTATTTATGTGGCGAATTTTACTGCGCTATCATAAATTCTTCTGTGCCGTTTTTTTACGTGTTCCCAAGTATAGTTTTAAATAATTTCATGCGAAACAGATTTACAAAGAACAATGCACAACCCTACTTTAGCAACGCCTTAAAAAAACTAAGCGTTATTAACCAAAAAAGCATTTATTATAAAAAGAATAATATCCTTACTAAATTTGTTAAACAAAAGAAGAAACATGATTTTTTATGGGTAAAAAGAGAAATAATCACATTGATATTATTCTGATTTTTTTTTATGGAAAATAATTGAAGGAGTTGCAACGCATGTTTGATAATTTTATTTTATTTTTATTTTTTATTTTTATTTTTGTTTATTTTTTTTTTTTTTGCGCGTAAAAA